TGTCAGGAAAAACCCATCAGGCTCACTAATGTCCTTCAGGGAAGGAAACTGCCATCCTTACCTGGTCTGGCCTACATGTGACTCCAGACCCGCAGCAATGTGAACTCCGGGCAGTAAATGCTGCCTGGTCAGTGACGCCCTCATCCCGTGAATGAAAAAAGGAAAAAACTCTTTTTCCAGCTTGGACTGGGGGGGCTCTGGAGATCAGTGCCCATGGGCAGCAGAAAGCTCCTGTGCCCAGGTTGTACAGGATGTTGGTGAGGCCTCTTCTGGAGTACTGCGTCCAGTTCTGGCCTCCCCATTATAGGAAGGATATCGTTAAACTGGAGAGGGTTCAGAAGAGATTTACCAGGATGTTGCCGGGAATTGGAGGGTTTGAGTTATAAGGAGAGGCTGGATAGGCTGGGATTTCTTTAACACTGGAGTGTAGGAGTTTGAGGGGTGACCTTATAGAGGTTTATAAAATCATGAGAACTATAGCTAAGGTGACAAGGCTAGGCTGGGAGAGTTCAAGACCAGAAGGTATATTTTTAAGGGGGAATGATTTAAAATGGCATGAGGGGCAATTTTTTTACACAGAGAGCAGTTCGTGTGTGGAATGAACTTCCAGAGGAAGTGATGGATATGGGTACAGTTACAATGTTTAAAGGCCTTTAGATAAATTCATAAATAGGAAAGGTTTGAAGGGATATGGGCCAAGAGCAAGAAGGTGGGACTAGATTAGTTTGGGATTAAGGTTGGCATGGACTGGTTGGACTGAAGGGTCTGTTTCCGTGCTGTATGACCCTATGACTCTATGATTTGCCATGTTCCTGCAGAGTGTATACCATTGTTTACAGCATGCCCCTGTCAGCGTGAGTGAGCACGGTACACCGCACACAGGAGGGTGTGTGCCAGGAATCTGCATGGTACGCTTCATGGGCAACCGCTGCCTGTCACTTAATTGCAGCTACAAATGTAACGCTGTCAGCATAGTGCTCCTGCCCCTCACACATCTACCATGCTCTGTACTTAAACATAAAAGGAGGTACAAAACTCACCATTGGGTTACTGACCCTTCATCAGAACAAGGAGTATCTGACAGCTTCTCACCAAAGGCTTGCACTGGACAAGGATATGACCGTAATAGATGGCCTTTTGAGTTGAGGCCACCTTTTAAATGCACCCTGCCCCCCACGTGCCTCTCCCAGTCAGAATAGCTAACGTGGGCTCCTCTCTTGGGCAGGCCTATACGGCCTGGAGCAAGCTTCACCCTGAGAGTGTGTGTACTGAAGACCAACAAGCCAGACTGAATAGGACCGACAGGAGTCTCGAGCAGATCGACAAGGCGAGGCTTCACTGAAAGGGTGTGCACAAAGAATCAGCTCAGTGATGAAGGAGCCAAGTTAGGGCAGAGGTTTGTGATCACTGGAGTTATGAGGAAATTGAGGTGCATGCACAGTCAGCACAGCGAACACAATTTATTCTTGTTATTGCCAAACGGGCTAATGTTGTGTACAACATGTAAACCTACCAAACAGGATCCAATCAGTGATGGTCAGGAGATCTAACCCCTCCAAAATATTCTGACAATTATTAGCAACACCTTCCCCCCCTCTCAGGAAACTGATTCTTTGTCACTCGTCCGATTAAGATCTCCCGTCTGATCTTCCAGACCAGCCCAAAAAAAATTGCACCAGCTCTGTTTCTCCCTCCACCGATACTGCCTGACCTGCTGAGTTTCTCCAGCACTTTCAGCCTTCATTTCAGACTCGCAGCCACAAAGGCTTTTTTGCTTCGGAACATGTCTTGAGGACACGGTCACAGATGGCAAAATGGAGCAGAAACATTACCACAATTTGAAGAAACTTTCATGTCACTTGTCTCCTCAGAAGCACAAACCTGTCTTTTTTTTTTACCAATTGTCATTCAGCTCAGTCATTGTTATGTTCATAACAGGCTGTGTCTCGTGACTCAATTCAGCTCAGTGAACCTGAGGAATTTTGTCAGTCCAGTTTAACGAAGACATATCATCCTGAATGTTGAGATAACACAGTGTAGAGCTGGAGGAACAGAGCAGGCCAGGCAACATCAGCGGAACAGGAAAGTTAACTTTTCAGCTCGGGACCCTTCATTTCTTCTTCAGACTCCAGCATCGGCAGTTCTTACTATCTCATCCTGAATGTACTCTTCCTCCTCTCTGGAAGGACTGACCGCAACAGGATCTTATTCATGAGATAGCCAACTTTTGGCAATATCTGTTTCATGGTTCAGAGGTTAGACACCCCTCTGTATCCTTTCGGTTGTGAGAAAATGCTGGAGTTCATGATAAAAGATTTAACAGCATGCACTTGGAGAGCAGTGACAGGGTTGGACAGTCAGCGTGGGCTCACGAAATGGGAAATCGTGCAATTGACAGCAATTTTTCGATGAGTAACTATTACAGTTAATAAGGGTGAGCCAGTGGATGTGGTTTACTTTGACTTTCAGAAGGCTTTGATAAGGTCCTATTTAAGAGCTTAGCAAGTCCAATTAAAGCACATGGGACCAGGGGGTGGTGTGCTGAGATGAGTAGAGAGCTAACTGGCAGACAGGCAACAAAGCAACGGAAGAAATGAATCATTTTCTCAGGGATAGGGCAGTGACTAGTGGGGTACCCAGGAGTCAGAGCTTGGACCCCAGCTATCCACAGTAAATGTTCATGATTCAGATGACGGAACTAAATATGATATCCCCAAGTCTGCAGATGACACAAAACTGGGTGGAAGGGTGAACTGTGGGGTGGATGAAGAAACGCTTCAGTCTGATTTGGATAACTTGAGCGAGTGGGCAAACGCATGGCAGATGCAGTATAATGCGAATAAATATGAGGTTATCCACTTGGTAGCTAAAACAAGAAGGTGGATTATTATCCTAATGGGAAAAGGGAAGGTGCAGTGAGACCTCAGTGTCCTTGAGCACTAGTCACTGAAAGTAAGCATGTGGGTGCTGCGGGGGGTGAAGACGGTAAATGGGATGTTGGCCTTCATAGCAAGAGGATTTGAGTACAGAAGCGAGTGATTGTACAGGGTGAGACAACACCCTGGGTATTGAGTACAGTTTGGGTCTCCTTACCTGAGGAAGGATGTTCTGGCTACAGAAGGAGTGCAGCAAAGGTTTACCAGACTGATCCCTGGAATGGCAGGACTGGTGTATGAAGAGGGACTGGATCGATTAGGACTATATTCACCAAAGTTTAGAAGAATGGGGGGGCTTATCTTGTAGGAACCTATAACATTCTGCCAGAATTGGATGTGAAAAACACAGGAAGGACATTCTCAATGACTGGGGAGTCCAGAACCAGGGATTATAGTCTAAGGATATGGAGTAGGCCATTTGAGAGTGAGATGAGGAGAAATTTCTTCACCCAGAGAGTTGTGAGTCTGTGGAATTCTCTGTCACAGAAAATGTTGAGGCCAAAACATTGAATGTTTTCAAGAAAGAGAGTCAGATATAGTTTAGGAGCAAACTACTACAAATGCTGGCATCTGTACTGAAAACAAAAAATGCAGGAAGTCACAGCAGGTCAGCCAGCATCTGTGGAGAGAGAGCAAGCTAATGTTTCAAGTCTAGATGACTTGTCATCAGAGCTTCATCAGATATAATTCTTAGGGCTAAAGGATTGAAAATCTGGGAACAAACGGGGGAACAGGATACCAAGTTGGATGATCAGCTATGGCCTACTCCTGCTCCAATTTTTTATATTTCTATGTTTCTCTTAGTAATTTCCTCCTTTTTTAACTCTCCCTCTCCTTCTCTTCCTCCATCCTCATTCTCTTACACCTCATTCCTCCTCTTCCTCCACCTACTCCTTCCTCTACTCCCCTCACTCCTCCTCTTACTCACTCCATCCTTCTCTTACCGCCTGCCATCTTCCTCCTCCCTCCTTCTCTCACTCCTGCTCTCCCCTTTCTCTTGCTCTCACCCCAACCCCCTTCTCTCATTCCCCTTGCTCCGTGGTCTGTCAGCTGAGTAGGAAATATGTTGGTTCCTTTCAGACAGGGTATTAACCATCCAACGTACCAACATCACGAAAAGCAGATTGTCCACTCATCAGTGCATTGAGTATAGGGGTTGGGAGATCATGTTGCAGATGTACAGGACATTGGTGAGGCCACTTTTGGAAAACTGCATTTAATTCTGGCCCCGCTGCTGTAGGAAGTATGTTGTGAAACTTGAAAGGGTTCAGAAAAGATTTGCAAGGATGTTGCCAGGTTTGGAGGGTTTGAGCCATAGGGTGAGACTGAATAGGCTGGGGCTATTTTCTCTGGAGCATTGGAGGGTAAATCGGTTTACAAAATCATGAGGGGCAATGATAGGGTGAATAGCCAAAGTCTTTTCCCCAGGTTGATGAGAGGGGAAAGATTTAAAGGAGATCTAAGGGGCAACGTTTTCCACACGGAGGATGGTGTGTGTATGGAATGAGCTGCCAGAGGAAGTGGTGGAGGCTGGTACAATTACAACATTTAAAAGGCATCTGGATTGGTATATAAATAGGAAGGATTTAGAGGAATATGGGCCAAATGCTGGCAAATGGAACTAGATTAATTTAGGATATTTGGTCGGCACGGACGAGTTGGACCGAAGGGTCTGTTTCCATGCTGTATGACTCAATGACTGTATAATGCGCTGATGTGCATGAGATCTTGCTGTGCACACGTTGGATCCTCACCATTAGCAAGGAGGATCGAGAGCTGACACAGTCTGAACTGGGTCTTGTTTTGTTACCTATCGAACACCGGCCAGTAAAATTTTACTTCAAAATAGCTTGCTTTCCCAGGGCAGTTTGCACTGCTTGCTGCTGCTCCCAGCTGGTTATGTAAAGTGTGTGTGTAAAGCTGACTATGATCAGCACAGCCTGCACACAGCACTGCTGATAACAGAGTGAAGGACAGCAACTGGTGAACTGCCGTACAGTGCCTGAGAGACCACCATCACCAAAATTTGCTGCAGCTTTAGTATTATTTTGTTATTTTTGGCAGGCTGAGCAGCTGTGGCACTTGGGTGTGTCTGTTGAAATCGAAGTTTTTAAGGTTTTTAAGGAGCAGACCCGTTTGCAGCAGGCTCGATGACATTCAGAGTCCCCCCAGTCTGGCTCTGCACACCAGCAGTCAGGTAATGAACAACGAGGGGTATTTTCAGGGGCCTGAGGGTGAGCTGAGGAGCATATTATTAAGCCGGAGAGAGTTCAGAAGAGATTTACCAGGATGTTGCCGGGTGTGGAAGGTTTGGATTATCAAGAAAGGCTGGGACATTTTCTCACTGGAGCGTGGGAGGTTGAGAGGTGACCTTATGGAGGTTTATAAAATCATGAGGGGTATAGATAGGGTTAATTGTAGCTTTCTTTTCTCTAGAATGGGGCCTTTTCAAGACTAGGGGACACATTTTTAAGGTGAGAGGAGAGAGATTTAAAAAAGACATCAGGGCCAAATTTTTTACACGGGGTTGGTTTGCGTGTGGAATGAACTTCCAGAGGAAGTGGTGGATATGGGTACAATTGCAATGTTTAAAAAACATTTAGATAAGGACATGAATAGGAAAGGTTTGGAGGGATATGAGCCAGGAGCAGGCAGGTGGGATTAGGGTCCACATGAATTGGTTGGACCGAAGGGTCTGTTCTGTTCTGTATGATAGATGTGCTCTATGACAGATGTCTAGTCTCCGGACCCCCGGATGTGTTTGTTCAGTTTTCTGTGATATGTTGAGGTCCTGGTGGGTAATAAAACGGATTGGACAATTAATTTCGCATCCGGCCAAGTGGTGAGAATTAATTTTTAAAAAAGATTTGAACTTTAATTTCACTTTTAAAATGTGGAGGAGAGATCTGACAAATGGGCAGCTCTTGCAAAAGGCTAGCCCAAGCACAAAGGGGCTGAATGGCTTCCTTTGTGCTGAATGGTTCAAAAACACAATAAATATTCACCTCCTGTGGCAGCGGCTGAATAAGAAGCTGGCCAGAGGAGGGGTTAAGGAGGTTTTCGAAGATGTGTTGCGAGGTTAAGAATTTCAGGATGGGGTTGGTGTGTTGGAGGCTGTAAGACTGATATTAAAAGGATTGACCGAATGTCAAACACAGCAGTAAGATCAGCCTGGAGAGCACTGCGCTAACGATGTGGCAAATCCTTAAATTGGGAACGTGTTTTCTCAAATTCGCAGGGATTCAGGACCGGAAAGGTGTAGGAGACGGGCAAGTGGGACGTACTGAGTATGGGTAGCAGAGGGTGACAGGAATCAGCGTGACTGCAGGGGTGGGTAAGGGAAGTGAGTTTGATGGGGGCGAGTTTGTTTAGTATTTGGAGATGTGTTCGAAGCTGGGAATTTGGACACAGGCACCGCCGATGAGATGAGTTACATAGGGTTCGAAGCTCAGTTCACACTGACTTTTCGGGTAAGAGGCAATGGGCCCTGAAAGAATTAATGTTGAAATGATGTTAATTTCCACCCAATGCGATGATGTTGCACAGTGTGGAGAACTGCACACTCTAACATGTAGACAGACATGCCATCTCTATCCTGACTGTCTTTGTAATTATGGCTAACTAATCAATGTAATGAGTACTTGTTGTTATCATTGCAATAACCCACACTTATTGTTGTTAAAACAAGTGCCTCCTCTCTCCATGATTCAATAGTGATTATGCTCTGCTATTGGTAATTTGACAGGTCCATACACTCAGCATGGGAAGGAAGGGCTGGTGAGACACTGCTGGAGTGGTTATGTTATTGAACTAATAATCTGTAAAATAAAATAACACAGAAGATTAGTCACCCGAAATGTTAACTCTGCTCTCTGTCCACAGATGCTGCCAGACCTGCTGAGTTTCTCCAGCAATTTCTGTCTTTGTAAAATAAGCTGTAAATCCTGACCTAATGCTGTGGAGGTTTCTGATCCCACTAAGACTCAATTTAATGAAGGGAAGCGGTGACATCCACTGCCACATTGAGACTGCTGTGCACTGCAGGGATGGGGCTGCAGCATATTAAAGAATCATAGAATCCCTACAGTGTGAAAGCAGGCCATTCTGTCCATTTAGTCCACACCAACCCTCCTAAGAGCATCCCGCCCAGACCCACCTCCTTACTATATCCCTGTAAACCTACATTTCCCAAGGTTAATCCATCTATCCTGCACATTGCTGGACACTATGGGCAATTTAGCATGGCCAATCCCCCCTAACCTGCACATCTTGGACTGTGGGAGGAAAGCGGAGCATCCGGAGGAAACCCACACAGACATGGGGAGAATGTGCAAACTCCACACAGACAGTTGCCCGAGGGTGGAATTGAACCTGGGTCCCTGATGCTGTTAAATCTGTAAATCTGGCCTAATGCTGTGGAGGCTGAGGTTTCTGATTCCAACAAGACTCAATTTAATGAAGGGAACGTTGGAAGTGGTGGCATCCACATTGAGACTGCACACTCCAGGGACTGAGCTGCAGCATGATATTTTGATCTTGGTGATAAGGTTCTATTTTATTTCTATAAGTTTCTGCTAACCATTTCAGTTTGTTTCTGGGCTGTTTACCCTGTTTAAAGTTTTGCATTGAGAGAGTAGCATAGTGGGAGTGTCCCAACCTCTGAGCCAGGAGGCCTGTGTTCAAGCCACGCTTGCTCTAGAGATGTGATTGACTGAATTAACTATAAAGGAGGGTTGGAGCTTCTACCCTGCCACAAGCTGCCCACAGTTGGTACCACACCATACAACAGCAGTGACCATCATGACAATAAGCTGCACAAGAGCAGGATAATCCTCGGTTTATTTCCAGTTTGTCCCATTTGGCGCAGGATTGAATGTTTTGGGGTTAACTGCTCAACTAAGAAACTAATCAGTTTGCATTCCTGTCTCCAATAATTCCAGTTGGAAGCCATTTGTGAGCAGACATATTAGCTGCAGGCATTTTAGAGTTAACTGTGATATTCTTGCTTTGGTGGACAGTCAGATGCTGGAAGCTGTAATTTGTTGGCTTCAGTGTTCATTAACAGAGGTGTGACTGTGAAACTCCAGAATTAGGGATCACAGTCTAAGGACACTGGGTGGGCCATTTAGGACTGAGATGAAAAGAAATTTATTCACCCAGAGTCATACAGCATGGAAACAGACCCTTCGGTCCAACCAGTCCACACTGACCAGACATCCCAAACTTAGCCAGTTCCACCTGCCTGCACTTGGCCCATATCCCTCCAAACATTTCTTATTCTTGTACTTATCCAAATGTCTTTTAAATGTTGTAACTGTACCTGCATCCACTACTTCCTCTGGAAGTTCATCCCACATACGAACTATTCTCTGTGTAAAAAAGTTGCCCCTTATGACTTTTTAAAATCTTTCTCCTCTCACCTTAAAACTATGTCCCCTAGTCTTGAAATCTTCCACCATAGGGAAAAGACATCTGCCACTCGCCTTATCTATACCCTTCATGATTTTATAAACCTCTATAATACATGCCTCAACCTCCTAGGCTCCAGTGTTAAAAGTCCCAATCTATCCAGCCTTTCCTTAGAACTCAAACCTTCCATTCTCAGCACATCCTGGCAAATCTTTTCTGAACTCTCTTGAGCTTAATAATATCCTTCCTATAACAGACAGAACTGGACACAGTACTCCATAAGAGGCCTCACCAATGTCCTGTACAACCTCAACATGACGTCCCAACTCCTATACTCAAAGGTCTGAGCAATGAAGGCAAGCGCGCTAAACACCTTCTTAACCACCCTGTCTACATGTGACGCAAACTTCAAAGACTTATATGCCTGATGACCCTGTGGAATTCTCTGCCACAGAAAGTGGTTGAGACCAAAACATTGAAAGTTTTCAAGGAGTTAGATATAGCTCTTAGTGCTAAAGGGATCAAAGAATATGGGGCGAAAGTGGGAACAGGGGACTGAGTTGGATGATCAGCCTGAGTGGCCTACTCCTGCTGCTATTCTCTATGTTTCGATGTAACATGAGCTTCAGGTTCAGGCTCCTCACATAGAGCGAGGTCTTCAACAGGCAACATTTTTAAGGGCCTTTGAAACTTGGAAGTTCTCATGGTAAAACTATGCACATCAATTTTCTCAGGGATGCTGTAAGAATCAAACATCAGACATGCTTCACTCACATTGCAATGACATAGTACTTACTAGTTACTTCCATCACATCTGACTTAAAGGATAGTCTCTTTGTATACCTCAGGCTAGACTTGAGAGTAAGTTCACACAGTTGCCTGTTATGTGGTTCAGTACAATACTGGAAACTGATAACATCCTCTAACAAGTAGCTCTTTATATCCTGATGGGTTGACACTTCCAGGAATTAACTGCGACTTTTTTTAAAATTCCAAGACATAGGTGTCTTTGTCAGGATGTTTGTGGATGTGGTGCCAATCAATCTGGGCTGGTTTGTCTTAGATGGTGTCAAGCTTCTTGAGGGCAGTTACTTGCTGCAGTATTCCTAGCCCTACAATCTGCTCTTGTAGCCACTGTGTTTATGTGGTGAATCCTTGAGTTTCTGGTTAATGGTAACCCCCATGATGTTGATACTCAGGGATTTGGTGTGAACATCCTGGGGATCACCATTGATGAGAAACTTAACTGGAGCAGTGGTGAGTAACTCACCCCCTGACTCCCGAAAGCCTGCCCACCATCTACAAGGCACAAATCAGGAGTGTGATGGAATACTCCCACTTGCCTGGATGGGTGTAGGTCCAACAACATTCAAGAAGCTTGACACCATCCAGGACAAAGCAGCCCGCTTGATTGGCACTACACCCACAAGAATCCACTCCCTCCACCACCAAAGTTCAGTATCCAGTGTGTGTACTATCTACAAGATGCCCTGCAGAAATTCACCAAAGATCCTCAGACAGCACCTTCCAAACCCACAACACTTCCATCTAGAAGGACAAGGGCAGCAGACATATGGGAACATCATCCCCTGCAAGTTCCCCTCCAAGTCACTCACCATCACGACTTGGAAATATATTGCCATTCCTTCACTGTCGCTGGGTCAAAATCCTGGAACTCCCTCCCTAATAGCATTGCGGGTCAACCCACAGCAGGAGGACTGCAGCGCTTCAAGAAGGCAGCTCATCACCACCTTCTCAAGGGCAACTACAGACAGGGCAATAAATGCTGGGCCAGCCAGCAATACCCACATCCCACAAATGAATAAATTTAAAAAAAATTACAAATACATTTAACACAATTAAGTATCTGAAGCTGCTTTAACAGCGTGAAATTTGACCTGAGCCACATAAAATGAGATCAGGTCAGATGGTCAAAAGCTTGAACAAAAGGGGAGGTCTGATGAAGTGTCATGAAGGAAGAAAGGAATAGAAGTTATGACTAGAGTTTCTGATGGGAAATCCAGAGCTTAAGGTGAGAGCAGCTACCACTACCAGGTGGAGTGATAGAAATTAAACAACCTGAAGAGGACTGAAGCAGGTATCTCAAAGGATTGAGAAAGTGGAAGAGCTTTCAGAGACAGGAAAGAGACAAGATGATTTGAAAAAGAGGTTGGGAATTTTAAACTCGAGGTATTGTCTGACTGGGAGCCAGTGTTGGTCAGTGATTTGCAGGGGCTGATGGGTGAACAGGGACCAGGCACAAGTTCAGATGTGGACAACAGAATTTTGGATGACCTAGAGTTTACAGAATGTGGGGGATCCAGCCCAGAGGACAGTCCAAAGGGAACAAAGGTATGGATGAGGGGTTTAGCAGCAGGCGAACTGAGACAGGGGTGGGGTACAATTCTGGAGGTGGAAGAGATGGCATTGAAATACGCAGTCAGATATTTGCTGCAGGGTCAAATATGGCACAAGGATTGTAAGTAGTCTGGTTCAGCTTACGTTGTCAGGGAGGGGGTTGAAGTCAATGATGGGGGAGCAGAGTTCGTGTCAGGACGGGCTTCTGTATTCCTAATGTTAAACTGTAGGGAATTTGTGACCCCCAAGAGCTGACATGTCAGGCGAACAGTTTAGAGAGAAGGGCACAAGAGAGATGGCAGTTGGTAGGAGCCGGGTGTTGTGTTTACTTGCAAAATGACATTGTGTCTTTGGCCCAACACTAAGTGATAGTGTGTATTTGTGAAACAGAATGGGGGGGGTGGGGGGAGGGGGTCAGGAATACATCCTTGGGGGGCACTTAGAAAATGGGTGCAGCAGTAGGCCATTCGGCTCTTCGAGCCTGCCTCACCACTCAATATGACCATAGCTAATCGTGCAATCTCAGTACCCCACTCCCATTTTGTCTCCATATCCCTTGATTCCTTTAGCTGCAAAGGCCACATCCACTCCGTCTTGAATATATCTAATGAACTCGCCCCAACAGCTTCCTGTGGGAGAGAATTCCACAGATTCACAACTCTCTAGGTGACGAAATTCCTCCTCATCTCAGTCCCGAATGGCTTACCCCTTATTCTTAGACTGGTACACTTTGTTCTGGACTTCCCCAGCATCGGGAACATTCTTCCCACATCTAGCCTATCCTAGCCTATCAGGATTTTATATGTTTCTATGAGATCCCCCCTCTCATTCTAAATTCCAGTGAGTACAAGCCCAGTTGATCCAGTCTTTCTTCATAGAAACAGAAAGAGACATTTTCTCTTTGATTCCTGTTCGTGAATCTGTCCACTATGTACACTGATGTGTTATTCCCAATGCCATAAGCTCTTGTTTTATGCAGTGACCCTTGATGTAGCACCTTGTCAAATGCTCTTTTGATCTGCAGGTGCATATCAAAGTCTGGCCCTCCTGTCCCACTCGAATCCTTACTGCCTGTTTTCTCTATTTATCGTATCTTTCAATGCTGATCCCTCAATCACACTGTTCACATTTAAATTTAAAGACCTTCTCTAAATCGCTTCCACATTGTTCCCATGCACCCCCATCACATTGTCAATGATAAAAAAGAAACATGAAACATTGCTCCAGCTATTATCCTTGAGCCATGCCTCAGGACCCATACTGAAATTAAGTAAAGACCTTGAGCCTCCATTAGTGAGGTGGAACAGTGGCTCAGTGGTTAGCACTGCTGCCTCCTTGCACCAGGGACCTGGGTTCAGTTCCAGCCTTGGGTGACTGTGTGTGTTTCCTCCTGAAGTCTGGATTGGCTATGCTAGATTGCCTATAGTGTCCAGGTTAGGTGGACTAGCCATGGGAAATACAGGGTTACAAGGATAGAGTAACAGAGGTTGAGTCTGGGTGTGATGCTCTTCCAAGGATCTTCAGACTTTTTGGGACAAATGGCCTACTCCCAGATTGTAGGGATTCTATTCTATGAATTCACTATGTATTCTGAAAGTGCACACTCTTTGATTAAAATAAAACTATTCACTATTTCCTTATTCCTTTATAAAAACAAGCATTGAAGTTCATAAATCCACTAGAAAGGAGAGATTGTGAAATGGGTCATGCAGCAGTAATTCTGAAATGATAACTCTCAGAAATATGCTCGTACTAAAGTGAAATAGCAAGCACTCTTTCTTTTAACATTGTAGTCAGAGCTTTCCAAGTATTTCGAGGGCATGCATTTCTAATGGCCTGATGGCTTGATTACTCCTAATGACAGATTTCTTAACAGTTACTATGAGCTTGTCAGTTCCAATGACTTTATGGACATTCATGGCTAATTTTAACAACCCCAAATGGCACTTTACCTGTCCCAAAGGGAACCTTTCTTCCCCCAGTGATGTCCCAGGACCATATCCAAAAATATACTTGTGGAGAGAAAGCAGAGTTAATATTTCACTGGACTCAAAGCATTAACCCTGCTTTCTCTCTGCAGATAAGATCGTAAGATAAAGGAGCAGAATCAGGCCATTCGGCCCATCAGGTCTATTCTACCACTCGATCATGGCCGAAATGTTTCTCAACTCTCCTGCCTTCTCCCCATAACCTTTGATCCCCTTACCAATCACGTTGCTGCCAGACCTGTTGAGTCTCTGCAGCAATTTCTGTTTTTGTTTCTGACTTCCAGCATTTGCAATTCTTTGTTTGATTTTAAGATACTCTATCTTCCCAAAAGAATACTCCACCTTTCCAATAGTGGGGCCTTGGGTAGTGTTGCCAAACAGAGAGACCTAGGGGTTCAGGTACATAATTCTTTGAAAGCTGCGTCACAGGTAGACAGGGTGGTTAAGAAGGCACTTAGCACGCTTGCCTTCATTACTCAGACCATTGAGGAAAGAAGTTGGGATATTGTTTGCAGTTGCACAGGACATCGGTGAGGCCACTTTTGGAGTTCTGCGTACCATTCTGCTCATGCTGTTATAGGAAGGATACTATTAAATTGGAGGGAGTTCAGAAAAAAATTAACAGAATGTTGCTGGGACTCAAGGGTTTGAGTTATAAGGAGAGGCTGAATTGGCTGGGACTTTTTCACCTGGAGTTTGGAGGTTGAGAGGCGACATTTTAGAGATTTATAAAATCATGAGTGGTATAGATAAGGTGAATAGCTAAGATTTTTTCCATAAAGAACTAATGCAAAACTAGGGTATATGTTTTTAAGGTGAGAGGAGAAAGATTTGAAAGGGACAACCTTTTCACACAGAAAATGGTTCATATGTGGAATGAACTTCTAGGGGAAGTGGCAGATGCAGGTATAGTTACACCATTTAAAAGACATTTGGACAGTTACATGAATGGGAAAGGTTTTGAGGGATATGGGCCAAACACAGGTACATTGGTCTAGTTTGATTTGGGAAACTTGCTCGGCATGGCCTGGTTGGACCAAAGAGTCTGTTTCCGTGCTGTATGGCTCCATGGCTCTATAACCCCAGCAGCTTGAGACCTTACCCTATAAAACCTGAATTTAGCAAGTCATATATTTGGACATCCCAGGAGGAAAGTTTGGATCAGCACAAGTTGACATTGATATGCATAGTCACCTCTGGGAACCACACTTGTGCAATTTAGCTATTTAGATTAAATTCAAATCAGACAAGTCTGTTCTGATCATTCAAGATCTTACAATGGGCTGTACATCTGTCTTGTCCTTTCCATAATGAGAAAGGTATGATGTGTGAGCCTATGGAGAACAAAGCACTACGTGCGATTTAAGTGCGAACATGCAAACGTGTGATTTAAGTGTAGCTTCTAACATGTGCAGAGGAATCACACTGTGAGTCTGACTGATAATCTTATTCTGGAAACCAATTCAATTCTTAACACAGTCAGGATTATTCAGGATATGCTAACCAATTGCAGAATCACATCTAATTTTGAATTTTGATTTCTTCAGAACAATGTAGAATTTAATTTGCATTTTGTCCTTTGTGTGTTAAGAAAGGGGAGACGTGAATCTAATTTGATTTGTGAAGTTGTTCTTGGGAGCCTGGTGCCATTACGTTTGGAGGTCTCTTCATTTATATGCATTTTTAGTGAGGTTTAGTGAGGTGAAGAGATGCAGTCAGTCAATCATTTTGTGTGTGCCAGAGAGTGGAAGCCTACAGGGTTAAACTCTAGCAAGATTTCCAGCAGTGGTGCTGAATACTGAGTTTAGGGAACTCATGTGGTTGCTCAGAAGTTAAAGTAATGGCGAGTTTAATTTGCAGTTTCCTTTTTTAGTGTCTTATGTACGTGCTGAAATTCACTGAAGGAAATCA